GTTAAAGAAATTGGTTATGTGGTTATGAAAAGACTGGAGTGGACCAGGATAGGTTGTGAGCCTGTGGGCTGGTGTGACGCGGTATTGGATTGAACAGGCAAGCATCTCTCAGCGGCTGAACGGGCACTCGATTCATGGGATAAGTGGTCAGCTGATTAGGGAAATTGTTGCGCGATTAGATGAGTAGGAAATACATCGATTGAATTGTTTTGGGTTGATTAGTAAGGAAGAACTTAAGTACGCAATTTTGGGATTTGAAATTTCATTCCAAGATTGAGATTGGCATGGCATGTAGTATTCATTGGAAGAAACTGAATCCATATAGGATTTTGGTGGGAAAGCCAGAAGGAAAGAGACCACTAGGAACACTTAGGCTGGGGCCACACGAGCACATAAAATGCGTCCGTTGTAACGAACGTACTTTATGACGGACGTTGCTGAGGACACCACACAGTTGCAGAATGCGGTGCGTAGTTTTTTGTCAGCAATGGAGCCAGAAGAAAGCGTCGCATTCGCCTCTCTTATTTATTTCTACAACAAACTTCACAACGTTCATTACAACGGACGCATTTTGTGTGCTCGTGTGGCCCCAGCCTTAGACGTAGGTAGGAGGATAGTATTAAGCTGGATCTTAGAGAGATAGGATGGAGTTGTATGGACTGCATTGATCTGACTCGGGATAGAGACCAGTGTAGGGCGCTTGTGAACACGCTAATGAACTTTCGGGTTCCATAAAATGCTGAGAAATTCTGGAGAAAGTGAGTCATTGGCGGCTTCTCACGAAGGGCTGAGTACCATGGAACTAGTTAAGCTACGAACATGAACTGTTGAGAGGTAAGGGAACATGTACGCTTAGCGCAATGATTGTGGCGCAGTGTCTCGCTCTTTGTTCGTTTATGTCGAATGACGCAAGACTTTCGGAAAAAGTGAATGGGACCGCAAAATGTGTCCCGTTACCCTTTACAACTCGGTTGGAAACATTTTTCGCTCCGATAAATATTCAGTGATATACTCACGAATTACATCCCCGGGTTAATCTCATATTATTCTCGTCAACCGAGAATTTTGAATATGCGAACAGATTGCAGTGAGAACTCGAATGTGAAAATCCATTAGTTGGTTTGTAGATTTGTTCACATGCTGACCGAAAGACATGAAGATATGGCGAAGCTGATAGTTATATACTTTCAAAAACTTATAGTCACATGCGTGTTGTAAATTGTAATTATTGTTACTACTGCAATATTTGCCCGTGATTCTGAACGGAAAACTTGTATCTGAAACACCCTATAGATTGAACGTATTTTATCCCCACATCTCTTCAAATATGTTTGAATGCCGGTATATTTCGGCGTCAACTAATATGGTGTACAGGAAACACGCTGGGATGTCTACTAGTCAAATAGTTGTGACGTCACAACGTACGTAAAATTTCACCTATGGAAGTAATAAAAGAGTGAAACTCAAGCTATGTTTTCTTTTTCCTTTCTACCTATAGAGCTTAGGGCACTATTTGTGACGCCGCTTTCCTCGTCTGCACGCATCTTCTTTACGTAACAGAGCCACGATGTTTCTCTTCCTCTGATTCCGGAAGAGGGGTGGGGGCACAATAATTAAACCGGTTAAAGCACAGAAATAAATATATGTACCATACTTTAACGTAAAGAACTCTGCCTTCTGTCTGTGGCTCTACAGACCTTCGTTGGACCTTGACCGCTTTTTCAGTTTCTTAATCGTATACACTGTCGATAAGACTCCTTGGACGAGGGATCAGTCGGTCGCAAGGCCGCTGCTTATACACGGAACAACACATACACAGAATAAACGCGCACAGACATCTATGTCTTGAATGGGCTTCAAACCAACAATCCCAGCTTTCGAGCGAGGGGAGATAATTGATGCCTTAGATCGCGCGGCTACTGTGATCGGCCCGAATTCTGTCTGTACAGTGTACACATATGTTAAGCATGGTTCTCAGAAGAAACGGTGATTGTGTCCCTTGAACAGCTTTAACATATTCGTCTTTGTAATGGAGACGCAGTGTGAGGTGAAGTTAAAATTGTCGCTGTGCTTAACTAATTAAGCACTACACCATGAAGACGTATGGCGGAGTAGATGTATAGATCCACATATTATTGACCTCGGCACTAGTTGGACGCGGGTAGCCAGCTTCACGTTGCGGTCGATTTATTCCAGGGGAAAGGGCTCTCGTTACCCATTGGATAGGAGGCTGGGTGGGCCCCAGAGCTGGTCTGTACGACGTAGAAAGAAGAAAGTTCTTGCTCCTCTTGGAACTCAAACTCCGACCCCTCGGTCGTCCAGCCCGTAGCCAGTCTCTATACGGACTGCGCTATCCCATTTTGAATAGTAATTACATGAAATAATGGCTCCAGCATCGCGGCGCGTCCAGTGGTAACGTCGCAGCTGCACGCAAAAGCTTTACCACGTGCTGTATGACGCTTCCTGTTCGCGCCGTATATTCTGAGTCCGCTTAGTAACACTTTCACCGGGCAGGTTGGCGTAGCGTTAATACTCGCAGCTTGTGTCCTGGAGGCCGTCTGTTCGAATCACGGGCGGGCCACAGGCTATAACTGAATGAGGATTAATGTGTTATTTTTTCAGTCCCTCCAGGAAAAACTGGGATAATGCCTCGAGTAGATCAAATCCTTTCAAGTTCAACATTCATGATTCATCCTATTTGACGCTATATAGACCTAGATACTGACAGCATCATAAATATAAAACAACGCTTTCGGAAAAGCGACTTTTGTCAGTGGTTGTTGGTTCACGCTCCTCTCGCCTGAGAACGTCACTATGAGATGACCCGAGTCGGCTTATGGTGTAACGCGCGTTGCTCACATTCGGGACATATTCAAATTATCCTGTCCTCGAGCTTTCGTGATTTCGTGGTTTTGTGATCTGTCTTTAGTTATGAACCAATTTCTCAATATTGGTTCCCATGGAAACAAATGGCTTCGTGATCTGTCATTGGTTGTGAGTGAGTTCCTCAATATAGTCATTGGTTACCATGGAGACAAATTGCTTCGTGATTTGTCATTGATTGTGAATCAGTTTTTCAATATAGTCGTTTCGGTTTCCCGAGATGACTCAGCCTCTAACAGAAATGAGTACCAGGAATCTTCTTGGGGGTAAATCGTTGGTTTCCATGGTTTCCATGATCTGTCTTTAGTTATGAACCAATTTCTCAATATTGGTTCCCATGGAAACAAATGGCTTCGTGATCTGTCATTGGTTGTGAGTGAGTTCCTCAATATAGTCATTGGTTACCATGGAGACAAATTGCTTCGTGATTTGTCATTGATTGTGAATCAGTTTTTCAATATAGTCGTTGCTTACCATGGAGACAAATGGCCTTAGAGTCTTTCACTGGTTTCGAATGAGTTTCGCGATATAGTCGTTGGTTTCCATGGAACAAATGGCTCTGTGATCTGTCATTGGTTTCTAATGAGTTTCACAATATAATCGTTGGATAACAAATGGCTTTGTGATTTGTCATTTGTTGTGAACCAATCCCTCAGTATAGTCATTAGTTGCAATTGAAACAAATGGCTTTGTGAACTGTCATTGGTTATGATCAGTTTCTCAACATAGTCATTGGTTCCCATGCAGACAGATGGCCTCGCAGTCTTTCATTGGTTTCGAATGAGTTTCACAATATAGTCATTTGTTCTCACGGAAACAAATGGCTTCACAACCTCTCACTGATTTCCAGTAACTTGACGTCAAATTATGCGCCGTCCTTATAGATGAAGCCTTTCTGTGTTGCGTTGGGTTCTGCCTCGATTTGCTCAGATGGTGGTAACAATGGATGGCGTGATAAGACGCGGCAACGTGCTTTCGTGAAATGAAATATTACATAATTACGTAAGCAGTAATAATCTGCCAGACCGCTGAGAATCCTTGCCTGCCCCCGCCCCTCTCCTACAGAGCACAAACAATTTCATTTCGTGACGCTATGTCACGGGTTCCCAAACGACCTATCATTTTAGCAGCTCAGAGCAGTCTGCACAAACACAGTGGTAGCGGGTTGGAACCTGTTTCCAAAGACTTCTGTTTCGCCCTGTGGAGATGAGTCAGTCTGCATCTTAGGAATTTCGCCCCTCTCCCCGTCTCATTAGGATGTAGGAATTCTGTAGGATTATACGAGGCTAGAAGGGCACACGGTAGCGTAGTTGTTTGAGACACTATACTACTAGCCTGAAGGTCGCGGGTTTGATTCCCAATGAGGTCATTGGATTTTTCAATTCACCTAATCCTTCCAGCCGCATTTTTTTTCCTGCATTCTACTCAGCCCCTAACAGAAATAAGTACCAGTAATCTTCCTGGGGGTTAAAGGGCGGCCGGCGCGTAAGGTTGACTACCTCACCGCCATCTTTGAGCTGATTGTCTTGAAAATGTGGGAGCATCGACGTCTCACTCGCCTATGGGCCCTCACATACATTTTAAATGAGGCCAAGGCTTAACTGGGGTATCTCTACCAGGCAGTAGAAGTGCGCAGAGTTCTGGTATGTGAGAATAGCCGAAATGTGGAGGCGCTGTTTCACACATAGTCAGGGAGGATGTGATGACCGCCAAATTCCTGCTCCATAGCCGCTTGAGACGTGTGGAGATGGACGCGGGAACAGTTTATACAGATCTGAGAAGCAGGCGGTTAGTCACTGGCTTTCCACCACGGCGGCCAGGGTTTGAGCCCGGGTCTGGTCATGTGGGATTTGTGGTGAACACAGTGGCGCTGGGGCAGGTTTTCTCCGAGTATTTCGGTTTCCCCCGCCAATTTCATTCCACCAGTTGCTCCAAAATGACCATCATCTATCATCTGGGGCAGTATCAAGTGAACTCAGTCTCACCCCACTAAGAATAATCAAGAAACATGTTATGGTAATATGACCAAGATTTAACTACGTACAGTATTATTCTCACTTTGTTTACATTGTGAATCATGAAATCGTGTAGTCTGAGCCACCCGTTCCATGTTGCAGCGGGGTGACGCCGACGAGCACGTGAGGAGCGGCCATGAAGGGCTGGTTCGACGCGTTCAGGAACGATGGCGGCCCCACCCTCTACAGCTACAGCAACCGCACCCCTGTCACGGGCGATGTGCAGACTCTCACACTGTACCTCATCTTCTTCACCGTCTTCTTGGCCTTCCTCGTCATCTTCCCCGGCGTCCGGAAGGAGGTGAGTCACGTATCCATACATCTGCAATAATGGACAGTGACGAGCTTCGTAAATTGTAGCCGTCTTCTCTCCAAAATTTAGGATGATCAAAATAAGAAATATGTGATGGGCGTCAAATGTTGCACGCATGGGAGAGAAACTAAATACGTACAAAATTTTGATAGGAAAACCTAACGAAACGCACCGTCAGGAAGGCGTAAGCATAGACAAGAGGATAATATTAAATGGATATTAAGAAATTGAGTTTGAGAATGTGGATTGGATTCATGTGGCTCAGGATAGGGGGCAGTAGTGAACACGGTGATGAACTTTGAGGTTCTATAAAATGATGCTAATTTCTTGACTAGCTGAACAAGTGTTAACCAGCTAAAGAAGAATTCTGCTCCAATATTTTAGTTCATGTCGTATGCGTCCCTTTCCCCCCTTCTGGTGGTTGCCGTAGAAGGCATAGTAGTGCATGGAGAGATTTATTTTCGCTGCTGACTAATTCAGAACACTATCTGATATCATTTGAGGCACTGTGTTACAAGCCGAAAGATCGCGGACTAGATTCCCGATGAGATACTTGGATTTATCAATTGACCTAATCCTTCCAGTCGCACTATGACCCTGGAGTCGACTCAGCCTCTTAACACAAATGAGTACCAGGAATCGTCCTGGGGTCAAAGGGCCGCCGCCGCGTAAGACTGACAACCTCACCGCCATCTGTAAAACGATTGTTTAGAAAATGTGGGAGCCTCGACGTCTCAAAAGTCTATGGGCCTCAACGGCCTGTTGCAGGGATAGCTTTTTAACGTTTGTACTGAGCGTCACACTGACGTAAGGACATTTGAGCCAAATGGTGACGCATTATTCTGCCACCCTGCACCCTGCCCCCCTGTGGCCCAACTTCTCATTTCGTATTTCGTTTAAAATTCACATTGAAAAAGCTGCTTCGTTTACGGTCCCTTTGACAACGCCGTAACAACTACAGAAGTTTTATGGATCATTTGAGAAACGTGGGGTGGCTTTGAAGCGTGAACTGGCAGGGAATCAAACCCGCGACCTTTCGGCTTGTAGGGTAGTGCCCTAACCAACTACGCTACTGTGTAAACTTTATCGATGGCTTTGAGTGTGGATCCTAAATATTACATTCAATTGAAATCAGTTAAGTATCCTTGACTACGGAGCACGCGGACGAAGACATGGAAAGCGCATTTCCCTTTTGGAGGGTGTATGTCGTGTGCAGAGGCCGGAGGCGCTGATCGTCTGTAGAACACACACACATGCCTGAGTGGCTTTCTACGAGACGTCACGCAGCTTTTACTCTGGCTACTACCACAGTCAATAACATAGGGCATACATCTCCTCGCTCCCACATCCGCACGGGACAACACGGCTGACGCAATTTGTCCACCGATAATTCGGTCCATCTGTTGATTTGAGTGAGAGTGAGAGCGAGCAGAGTCACTCCTTATTAGAGGCGGAGTGACCAGTAATAGTCAGACCCCTCCTCTCTTTGGAAAGAACAGAAATATGGTCATGGGTCCCGACGGTGCCCGAAACCAAGACTGTACTGGCGGGTACCAGCGGCAGTTTACTGGACCGGGCTAATTAACCATTTATTGTTATATAGGGGTCGAGGGCTTCGTGGGGACGAATATTCATATTGTGATAGCTCAGTTGTATGGGAGATGGTTACCAAATTTTCGGAGAGCATACTGCCTCCATCTTCAAGGTAGAAATGAGGATTGTCCCAGAAAATGGAGGCAGTTTATTCCTCTAAATCATATGTACTCACATACCAGATTACACAGGGAATTCAGAAATCTACATGAAGAATTGTATTTCTTTGGAGGAGTGGTTTATTTTACGAAAGTGTTAGTGTGTCGAACTCCAGAGTGTCTTAATGATTCATGAAGTGTAAGTAGGAAGGGATTCGGAAGGAAACTGTCATGACCTCACCAAATTACTATCCCGGAATTTGCACCAAATGGACTGAGGAAAAGCGCGAGAAACATCTTGGTCAGCATAACCTGTGTCCTGGCCGACATTCGTACCTAGCACCTCCAGAATAGAAGTCTCGAGCTTTACCGCTACAGTAACTTGCTCCGTAATTCCATTTCCTTGCCCTTGAAATGCTTAGGAACTTCACGTCTTGACAGTTTTCAGATTATCCTTCCGCGTTAGTTATGCAGCCATTTGCAGTTTAGCTTTCCGTCTTTGTTCTCATAATCTTGTGCATTCTTCGTCAGACGAGGGTTTTGTGTTACTTCTGTTCCTGTTTACCCAGACTTCTTTCTGCCGAAGTGTTTATATTGTTGTTAATGCCTGTAGAAGCCCTACTGGTGTCCACTTAATCATCGGGCTTTTCTAAGTTGCACCAGTTTCTTGAGACTGCATCTCTCCATGGCAACAGCCAGGCAGCAGTCAGTATCACTGTCCGCTCACCTGAAACGTCTGACACCAAGCACACTTGAGTGCTGTCTCCTATCAATCAAAATATTGACACGCGTTTGTGACTAGAAACTGGCTTTTGACTGACAGTTGGATTTATTGAACTCTTAGAACTCTCAACTACTAATAATTATTATAATGCTATTCATAACTTACACACTTAACAAATCACTGTAGCACACACTAATTTTCCGTCTGTTACGGTCTTCACTAGTCGTTGCTTGGTTACGTCTTTAATCATGGTGCTTCGGTGCCCACGTCCTCACTGGATGACGCCTGGCTTGCAATTAACTGTCAACCACAACACATAGCATCACTAGTCATGACTGTCTAGTCACTGGCTCTAACTGGCTGTCACTCCTAACTAAAAGTCAAGAGTTACTTTACGGCTAGCGGTTTACCCCTAATCAGTTCGTCTAGGCGCGGTAGCGTAGTTGGTTGAGGCAGGTTAGGGGTTCGATTCCCAGTGAGGTCATTGGAATTCTCAACTTACCTAATCCTTCCAGCCGCACTATGGCCCTGGGGTTGACTCAGCCTCTAACAGAAATGAGTACCAGGAATCTTCTTGGGGGTAAAAGGCGGCCGGCGCGTAAGGCTGACAACCTCACCGCCATCTTTGAGCCGATTGTCTCAAAAATGTGTGAGCTTCGACGTATCACTCGCCTATGGGCCTCCACGGCTTGTTACAGGGAAAGCTTTACCTTTTACTATCGGTATAGCTCCGAGGCGGCAGGCTGGGCCATAGAAGATTTGAGTTCGATTCTCGGCAGTAACAAGAGATTTTTCTGTTCTCTGCAGCGTTCATACTCCCTTTAGCGCCCTATTAAGTTGCTACCAGGGTGTTTCATGTATGTAATAGCGTATTGCCCTTTGAACATTCAACGGGAATTCTCACATAAACTTTTGTTATCTTCATCTTCTTTCCTTTTTCTCCCCTGTTCTTTTCATATCCATTTCTTGTCCTTAATACTGTCTGCCTCTTCCTTCCTACCTCTCCTTTACATTCGGACACTTTAGTTAAATAAGATTAAAGTCGCCTGCTGCCACAGTTTTGTGTTGCAGGACCTTTTGCAACTCTTAGTTTCAGTTCACAACGCATCATAGCACAGACGCTACAGTAGACTGTGAGAGGATACCGTATTTACGCATGTATAGGCCGCGTGCGTGTATAGGCCGCAGCACAATTTTCAGACAGAAATTATAGAAAAAATAATTTTCTTAGAATATTATTTCAGGAGTAGAAATTATTCCGAAATATTCCGAATATATATATTTTTTTAATGAAGTGTGATTTCGAATATTTCGAATATAAGCCGCACCCCAGTTTTCCTCTTGAATTTTTGGCAAAAAATGTGTGGCCTATACATGCGTAAATACGGTATTTTATGTACCTTACAGCAGAATTCCGTCTCCGTCCCTCCTGAACTCGCTGGGTCCATAGCAACGCGTGATTATAGTCACGTGTTTTATGCGTACACGCGCGTGCCTGCAGAGAGAGGAAAGTGGCGACCTAGTGTGTGTGGTGCCTACTTCTGAGTGTATGCGCGGAAACGCCTTAGTGTGGAGGCTCACAAAGGTTAAGGTCAGGTTATGTTAAGAAAGTTGTACTAATCGGCCAGTGACGTGCTTTCAGCCAAATGAGGAGTGGTTCGAGTCAAGAATGGAGCATGACATCGTAAACACTTTCTTAAGCGCATCACTGCAATGGCTCAATTAGCAACATTACAAAGACGATGCTATCTGAGCAGAGTCAATCATGATAGGAAAATTAGGAACAGAAAGCAAAAGACATATATCGGAAAATGTTCCTTTGTAAATAGGACCATCGAACTCTGGAAACAACTACCTGCAAATGCCTTAGGGACTTTCTCCTGCAAACCAAGTCATTTTAGTAAGAGAGTTAGGAAAGTGGTAGGCCGCCCCATAGCTCAAACGATTAGTCGATGGCTTCCCACCACGGCGGCCCGGGTTCGAGCCTGGGTCTCTTCAAGTTGGATTTGTGGTGGGTATAGTGGCAGGTGTTCTCCGAGTACTTCAGTTTCCCCTGCCAATCTTCATTCCACCGAATTCTCCATCACCATCATCACCCGGAGCAGGTACAATAGGCCAATCAGTGGCCGACGTGCCGAGTGGACCCAGTTGGACTACACCCCCCACTATACAAATTTTTAGGAAAGTGATAAATAAGGCAAAGTGAAGGTGTGTGGGAAATCATCCGAAAATGCAGTGACGTGACGTGAAGTGAAGTAAATTGTGGTGAGGATGTGAAGGGTACGCAAGTGTAGTGAAGTGGAATGAAGTGAAGATCACGGTGAAATGTGAGTGCCTCAGTTCAAGACATTACGTATTTCATGANTCTTCATTGTGACTTAAGTCTTACAAACATGTCCATGTATGTGTTCCCTAATTCAATATTATCTATCTGTTCCTCTACAGTCCCTTATGAGTACTAGGAATCTTCCTGGGGGTGTGAAGGGCTGCCGGTGCGTAAGGCTAACAACTTCACTGCCATCTGTGAGCCTATTGTCTAGAAAACATGCGAGTCTCGACGTCTCACAACCTTG